GCAAGGTGCCCAGCCTGCACTGCCGGCTGCCAGCAGAGGGCGACGGCGGCAAGGTGCCCAGCCTGCACCGCCGGCTGCCAGCAGAGGGCGACCTCGGTGAGTTGCCATTACTTCAGGGAACTCCAATTCCCAGAAGCCTTTGGGCTGATTAGGCCCAACCTGACACACAATTACTCAAAAAAAAAAAGAAAAAAGGCTTGAGCTATAAACTGCTCCAAGCAACCGAAAAGGTGTTTGCTCTACCAAGAGCAAACATGTGAAACCTAAAGTCTGCCTTCCCTTCATACTTACAGTGGAAGTGTGTTTTGTTTTCTCATTTTATTTCACGTTTCTAGTTCAGCCTTTATTTGAGCGTGCTGCTCTCAGCATTTTTTTTGTTTGCCGTTTTCACGCCTTTTCACTTCCCTTTCCTTGAGGTGTTTTACCGGTTGTTATCTGTGCTTCCCAATAGTGGAGCAGTAACTCCACGGACCACCGATCAGTACATGGGTGGTTAGTTCCTGGCTCTGGGTCACCACAACGTGCCAAACTCGTACTCCATTGCCTCAATAAAGTGTTTTAACATTCTTTCTCACTGGGTTTCATTTCTGCACTTGGGTCCACCTCCCTGCCATCTCTTAACACTAATTTTTCTTTCTGTCTTTGTTCATTGTTTCATGGTATATCCAATAACCATATAAGAGCTAAATGAATCTCCTCAGTTCAAATTGGCTTGTTTAAAGATCTCAAAAGAGATCTCAGGAGACTCTGACACAATTAATAAAAAGATCTTACAGGCGCAATAAGAGCTTTCATGAGTTTAACTCAGATCTGTTAGATGTAGAGATGGTTTTCATGAACATGCTGTGTTTTAAACTCTCGTTTCCCGTTAGTTTGGACACATACTGGATCAGTTTCAGACTCTGGTGTGGTCAGTGACCTCTCTGCTGTCCGTGCTGTAGCTCTTTAAAGAGCAACTGCGTCTGTTGAGCCACCACAGCAGGTCTGCTGTGATTAGTTCTATTATCTTTTATTAAAGAACATTATGACGAATTTATCTTTAAGAGTGTAGCTTTTCTCAGCTCTTGGATGACCACTGGGATCCTAAATAGCCAACTAGTTCACTTATGCATTGGGTGGCTATGACTACAAATTAGGCATTAACATTTAAAATTAAGTGATAAGACACATTCTACTGCTGCATATTTTAAATGTGGCTCTGAATGTACAGTTACCTGAATTTGATCACCAGTTAGTTTGAGTTATATTTGACTAAAATGCACTAAAGCTCACTTTAAAGGTTACTACTTTAAAATATACTCTAAAAATATACTTAAGTAGATGATAATTACATATACTATTGTTTAAGTTTGATATTTAATATAAAATATATTTTATGTTAATTAGAATGTATTTAAAGTTAAATTTCTCTTGAGGTAAAGAAACAAACTCAAGTATATAAACAGTGAACATGAAGTATATAAAGAATAATAAAAGTACATTTTTATTTGATGTATTTTATGAAAGTCTACCTAAAATATACTTTTCTTTTCTTGTGGTAAAGTATATTTGTGATGTAACTCATTTTAAATTCCACATAAAATGTATTTCTGTAAGTAGTTTTTCTGAGTTATTTTCTCTTTTATTACAGTGAATCTCTGTGAACTCTTTCCTCATCATTACATCCCCCTCAATACACTCACTCCTGCTCTGTGCTTTGATCTGGTTCAGCTCCTCTTGTGATGTTTGGAGACTGAAATGTTCATCAGTTCTTTCTCTTTCTAAAGTGATGGAAGTTGAAGCCGCATTAAAGATCAGTCTGAACTCTAGATGTGTTTGTAGGTGTGTGTCGGTGTTTCAGGACAGATCGTGTGTGTGTTTAGTCTGATTGTGTATCTGTTCATGCTGTTGGTTGTGCTGGTGTCTCCTTTCTTCCTATAGGTTCCTTGAACAGTCCTCCAGTAGGAGCTCAGGAGAGAGAGAGAGCGAGAGAGAGAGAGAGAGAGAGAGAGAGAGAGAGAGAGAGAGAGACTAGGAAAGAGGAAGTAAGTATCCCTTCTCAGTAAAGCGAGTCCAGTGATTGTTTCCCTTAAAGGCTGCATTAATATGAAGGCGGTTCAGATCGGACTGAAACACTGTGTGAGGGTTTAGACTGAAAGTAGAGACTCAGCGCGTGTAAAAGTGATCAGACTGAACTGAGATCTAGTCTGAGCTTCACTTCCTGTGGGTGAGGCTGATTTAGTGGCTCATGCAGGAACTGTAAACAGCACGTCAGTAAAATCAGGCTGATCTGCAGTAATGGTGTATGACCAGAGGATGGCGCCAGTGTATCAGGTTACTAACAGCACCGTTGTGTTCTAGTATTGCAGACACTGTGAAAACGTGTTTATCTTTCAAGCAGCAACACCAGATCCCTGCGATTCTGTATATGGACTCATATATAAACAGCATACATGGAAAATATCATAGACACTGAAATATCAGACCCTGTTTGAACACATAGCGTTTCTCCCTGTTATAGATTCAGTTTGGAATAAGCAGCTCTGAGCTCTCAGTGTTGCTCCAGATTGGGATGTGATTTGTCATCATATTTTCACCTCATTCAAAAACTGGTCTCATCAGTTTTCACACTTCAGGTTCACTCACTACATTTACAGGACACAATGCTGTACATTAGATGTACATTACGTTAGATGACCAGCACAACCTGATATGGTTTGTTTTTAGGAAAATAATGGTTATAAATGTCTCAAAGATTAGTAATGTTTACAAAAGCTACCCACACATCTCCACTGCTCCAAACTCTTTCATTTTCAGTTTCCAGCTCCACCTTTTCTGAAAGTGCTGAGAGTGAAAATACAGCTTACATCGAATGCAGCCTGATGATGCAAACTCAATTATTTAATAAAGAACATAACAATATGTTCATCAAAACAAACAGGATCAGTTAAAATAGACGCTGACAAGCTGATCACAACATAGAACAGCAAATAATCTCATTGTGAAAGTGGACATGTACTTTGTTTTATTAATAATTGAAATACATTTCAATGTTGAAGCTGCATAATCCACTACAATCTCAGGAAAAAAAGTTACTGTTCATGTTCATTTTTGTTCCTCAAGGTACAAGCAGCATAAATGTACCTTCACAAGCAGGATGTTGGACTTTAAGGTCTATTTTTGTACCTGTTAATGAATAACAATGGTACATTACATCTACTTTTCAAGTCATAGTACATATTTGTACCTTTTTAATTACTAATTAAACTTTTTAAACAGACCAATAAGAGAGAATGCATGGTCAATGCATATTTTAAAAGTCGCATATGTGAGGAAATCATTTAAAGACAATACGGTGTACTATATCTCTAGTATTATATTTTTCCCTTTAAAGTCCAATTATGAAGTCTGTGTTTTTATGTACCAAAACAGCCCTAACTTTCTTTTTCACATTACATTCATTTTCCAACCTCTTTTTAACTCTCAGAGTTAAACAGGCTTTTCTGTTTCTGTGCCTTTTAAGACTGATATATGTAAATGAGCTCTGTTTTGATTTGTTGTCCTGTACTGCGCCTAATTCAAAAAGCAATTCCAGGCTGGAAACGTTCCTTATACTTCAAATATGTCACTGTGAATGGACAAGACTAAACCGCAGTAGACAGAACATATAGATATACATACATGTGTTTCATAACATCACAAAAACAATTCATTCAAAATGGTCTGATCTTCAGCTTCATTTTTCGTTTCTCATTTCATTTCTGTTTGAACTGAGGAGTGAGCGGTATATTTTCTTATTTTAGTAATGTTAACAAACCACTTATGTGATGTGAGAAATTATTTTTTTCTATGATGTAGGCCCTTTATTTAAATCATCTGAGTTTTTGAAAAATAAATTACTAATAACTAAATGACCTCTTTCCCAACAGATAAGGAAACAAAAAATGACATGTTTATTTTTAGAATAAGTGATATTTAGAATAAATTATGTTCTAAAATAAACAAAATCTGTTATTCATTGATGCCTTCATCTAAAACTGTAAGGATCTATATTAATACAGAACACTTCAGCGTGTAAGAGTAGTAATGATAAACAGTGTGGAGTGAAAGACGTGGCCCTGTGCACTCAGAAGAAATTCCTTTTTTGTTTTAATTAAGTAAATTGTTAATGACACAGACTGGGCATTGTGTGGGAAGTTATTAATTCCAGGTTACTTGTGTTATTACTATGATTCATATTGAGTGAAATGTGACAAGGACTAAATACATAAAGATTAAATGTTGGTGTTTATTGCCATGTAGCCAATACTACTGCATTAATCACTTTGTATTAAATCCATAAAGACCGAAAACAATTGATAGATGTCCGTTTTCTTATTAAAAGGTATTGCTGAATCAATAAATTGCAAATCAGTGCATGTCTCTTAAAAGGTACAATTGCATGTGGTACAATTGTGTTCCCTAACTAAAGATACTAAAGATGTCTACTTTAGGGTACCACTCCAGTGACAAGTGTTTGTACCCTAAAAGGTACAATTTGGTATCTTTTTTTTTCTGAGAGTGTAAGAGCAGATCAACAAAAGCACATTTCAGCAGAACCCAGTGAGAAGAGACTCAGTCCAAACCATGATGGTGCAGAATGAGACGGTGAGCAGGGAGGAAGATCATGAGTGGAACAGTTCAAATGACTCAGTGTCTCAGAAGAGCTCAGTTTAAACAGCTTCTCTAAAGGTGGAGATCCTGCAGGACGAATGCAGGGCGGTAACTTGTTCCACCAATGAGGACTTTGAGCTGCTGTGATGATGAGCTCCAGATGCCCTTCCTGGTCAGACTGCAGTGGACGGAGCTCTGTTTACATCTTCAGCTACAGTAAATGTGTCCTGCTGAGCTGATCAGCTGGATCATCTGGATCAGGGTGGTGAAGGTCTCTGTGGGAGTGACGTTTCTGGGAGTTCACACTTCTGACACTAGAGGGCGACATGCACTGTATGATGAGTCAGGAGACACAGGTCACGTGGTTTATATCCACCAATCAGAGAAACAGGAAGAGCTGCAGTGAAGAAGACAAACCGAAAGTAAGTTGAAGATGAAGAGCCGTTAGAGAAACAGAGAAGATCACAGATGTGGAGGAGTTCAGACGGTAGGCTTTAAGATTAGTACTAAACTGGTCTGTTGGAGATGATCTGGTAGTTTAGAGTAGAAAAGTCGTGTTTTTAGTCGATTCGTCGATTCTTTATTAAACTCGGTGGAGTGAAGGTTTTAGCTGGTCTAAGATGGCGACGCTGAAACTACGCAGCCCGTAAACTCTTTTCTGTGAACATGTTTACAGAAATACTGTCAGTCAGGTTCAGTCAGGATTCAGACACACTGGTTATTTTTTGTGCTTCGATCTTTTCTGACAGCCTTTAATGTTAAAATATGTATTTTTATTACCTGTGTCGTCTTGCATGCGGCCTCAGTGACCGCGGAGACTTTATAAACACTTAACAGAGGTATTTAAAGTTTCTGTGAGTTCAGGTTTCTGAGTCTTTTATTAGTCCAGTCAGGTAAAACAGCGGTTTAGCTGAACTTCTGAACTTATTCCGAGCTTCTTATTCGAATTTTCAGTTTTTAGGCCCACCTTAAAACCTGCTGCAGAGACGATATTCCGCCTGTAGGTGGCACTGATGAGTCAGTTTTCATCATTAATCTGTTTAATCTTGTAAAACGGCACACTTTTGGCTTCTTAAGACGTTTTGCACTTGCAAATATTAAGGATTAAAACAAGCTGAGACACTAAAATCTCACCTTAATATGAAAGAATAGATCTTCCTAAAATAATAAACTTGGTTTCAGACGGAAACAAACTGATCTTCACTTTTAAAATGATCATGATTACATTGTATAAGAAGGCCTTATTCTCTCTAAACACCTAAATACAGACCGTATTTTGTAAGATCTTTTTTCAGCTTTCAGCTGAATTTTTAGTGACAGTGATATTGACCATTAACTGAATTAAGATGTTTTTAGACAGGACAGGGTGAAAAGTAAACCTGTCTGTCTGTTCAGTAAAACTATAACACCCACACAGTTCATAATGTTTTTAATGCTGGTTTTAAGAAGCCACTTCAGTGCCTTTTTACAAGATCACACAGATTAGTGATAAACTGACTCATCAGCCCCACCTACAGGTAGAATATTGTTTTAGCAGCAGCATTTAAGGTGGATCGGAAAATTTGAATAAGAACTTGAGAACTTCTGCCTCGTAGACTAGAATGTATTACAGTGAAAGCACTAATAAACATCAGGTTCAAGTTAATTTTTTACTAAACTTTTATAAATTTAATGAAATAACTTTAAATATTATCAGTTTACTACCTCTTCCCACATGGAGCAGAAATGTGTCAAATATATTTGAAAATGTAAGAAAATGGTCAAAAATGTTACTGTACTATATTTACATGTATTTAGAATACATTTCAGTATTAAGTAATGAATTTGAAATTTTATGTTTTTATATATATATGTCTGTGTATTATTCCATATGGCTTCCCCAGCTCACTGTTTTCAAACTGAAACATATGAAGAGAAAAAGGTCCAGGCTAATAACATTAGCTGAGGCGACAGACTATTAGCATTTGTCTGTGTGTCTGAAAGACTGGCTGCCTTTCTCTGTGTAAATTTGATCTACTGTGGCTTCCTGTGGTCTCAGTATGGCTTTAATGTAATGTAGTAAAGGCAAAATGCTGAATGATGCGCTGTGACGTGCTGTGAAACTGGACAGTGCTCAACGTCAGCAGAGCGTCTGTTTTGGCAGAGGCTTTGAAACGATTACCCAGTGACAAGTCAGAATGCTGTCGAGGGTAAACTAATGTTTTGTGCTCTTTTATGTTTTATGAATTTGAATTGAGAACAGTGACTGATCTGACTGTTTATCCATCTGGATAAAAGGTGTCTGTAGGTCTTTCTTGCTGTTCCGCTCTGCATCACTAATACTCTGTGTGAATGACCAGCACATGTGAGCTGTAGCAGTCAGACTACCTCATGGCTCGGTCACTTAGAGGTAGTGTGTGTTAAACAGGTGTAATAGTCTGATGGTAATACACATAGTAGACTTTGAGTTGACTGAACTCCAAAATAGTGGATCTGCCTGGATTAATGTGGATTAATCTCTGAATTATTAAGACATTTGTTTTGACTGATGCTGTAGTGACATTAAGGTTATTATACCCTGTGATTCGGTTCCCTGTTCATACTTTAAATGTGAAACTCTCCACAGGAAGCAGAGAGCAGTGTGTCGAGTGTCCTGCTGTGTCTGTGAAGACTGAAAACCTCATGATGGAGCCTCATCACTTCAGCAGTGAAGAAAGAAGTTCTCACTTAAAGTGAGTTACTTTCTGTCACTAATTTTAGGGAAACTTCATTTTTCAAAGTTTAATCAGGTTAAAATGTTTATTTACAGTAATCCCAGTTGTACAGCATGATGTGTAAACTACGATGTACTTTGGATACTGTTTTGATAAGCAGATTGCAGTCAAGCGTGTGATGGTAAAACTTCAATTAAAATTAAAAATTATATGAATCAGAATAAATTTAAAATATATATCGAATCAGAATAAATTTAAAATTATATCGAATCAGAATACATTTTTGTTAAAGTTGTAATTTGAAATAGTTACTGATAGTTTGCTTTAGTTTAATGTCTCATTAAGCCTGTATTTTCTAGCTATACACCCAGTGATATTAATAAATGACACTGTTTTGTTTTTTTTTAATATGTGTCAACAAAGACTTCCACTGTAAAACCTGTTATTAGATTTGGTATTTAAACTTTTTTCCTCATTTAGCTTATTTTTCCATTGCACATTGAATTTTTTGGCACTGTCGGGACAAAACCTCCATTGTCGTTTTTAATTTTTTGACATATTTCGAATAAGCCAGTTGCGCTTTATGGTGTCTAAAAATTGTGTGATGACCAAGATAAATGGTCTAAAATTACTTGGAAGAAAACATAATAATTGGCTTGATTATTGAGTTTTAATAGAAATAATTATTTTTTTTGTAGCGTATGTATATATGCTTTATTTTTACAGTTGCTTAGAGGCATGTTATAGAGTTAACGGTTTATATGTATTACAAATATGGTGCTCTTCTTAATATTCATTACACTCAGTTTTGGTGACTCACATAATTGATAAATCAAAAAAAAATCTTTATTGAACTTTATAAAGGTGAGTAAATGCCATTTCATTTTTAAGAATGGAATGTAAATGGTATTTATGTTCATTCACCTTCCACTACACCACTGACTGCAGGGAAATATGACTGTTTGTGGTGATTTCTTGTGAGAAATTTGATTAGCTGTTGTTGATTTATTGGCATCTTAATATAGCAGTTCTGCACTTTGACTTTTGTCTGTAATTTAATCAGTATCTTTTTATTTGTTTTTTAACTTTTTGGATGACTAGGATTTGTTTAATCTCTAATGTTGGACAATACATTTAATCCTGATGAGTGGAAACCAATGATTTCCAAACATCTGAATTGTACCTCCCATCTGTATTCACAGCTGTCTGAGGAAGCGTCTTCTAATGCCCACATTAACTCTCTGTTATGTGTCTCTATATTACATTTCCAGAGTGGAACCTCCAGAAACCAACTATGTGTATATGATGGGCAACAACTCAATGTATCAGCCTCTTTATTTCAATAACGAAAGAACCAGTACTGACCTGAGGTGAGACGCAGACACAGGATATTAGTGAGTTTTAGCAGGATGATAGAAAAAAATGGAGGTATACAATCATTACAAGTTCTAGAATAAAACAGTTCAATGTCAGTAAAACTGTCTCAGAAAATGTATTTTTTTCTGATTCTTCAGTTAGTGAGGTGGACAATTAATCAGACTATTTGAAAAACTCCCCATTAACCTTAAATAAGTGTGCACACTATCTTTTTGTTATTTCCTCAATAACACCTTTAATTCAATGTACTTTGAAACCAGTGATCTCCAAATATCTGTATTATTATTCCCAAATATATAAGCTTTGTGGTGTTGTTGTTGTTGTTGTTGTTGTTGTGTTCATATTGATATCTAAATTTAGCTCTTTTTGTTTGTCTCCATATCACATCTCCAGACTGCAGACATGCAGAGCAGAACCTCCAGAGCTGAGCTATGTCTCTATGAAGAGCCACAACTCTGTGTAATTTAAGTTTTATTTAAATACGTGTGTAAAATATATGTAAGTTATTTTTACTAATGGTGACAAGATTTATTTCAAGACAGTAGTTTTAATCTTAACTGAGTGGTAATCAGTAATTCCTGTAAATTTAATGAGTCATCTGCTGTCACTGTCTTATCCATATTTATATTGATATTCTTTTTCTTGTTTCTCCACATCACATTTCCAGACTGCAGACATTCAGAGACCCTCCAGAGCCCAGCTGTTTGTCTATGAAGAGCAGCAACTCAATGTATCAGCCTCCTGGTTTCAGTGATGAAAGACCCAGTACTGACCTGAGGTGAGACACTAACACAACATGGTAGTGAGTTTCACTGTTACCTTTTTCTGCATGTGGACCACATCTCCACTTTACTGCCACTGATAATGGCTTTGTTTACCTGCAGGATTTCGATTATTTGGATTATTCTTTTTGTACTTTAGCTAATGTGTTACTTTAGTAAGTGACTGCATGAGTCTACATATGAGATGTAATGTGAGAAAAAAGTGGTTTTAAATGTATTTAGTACTAGTCATATATGTAGGTTCCTGCTGTTCTGATTACTAAGCTGGGAACACTGATGAAGAGTAAAAGAGAGCATATAGAGTGTAATGCAGCTGTTCTCAAGCCACCTTAAAGCTCTTTTATATGAGAGAAAAAAAGTTAAATTAGGCAGAGGGACGGCCAGGACTCCTGCAGAGGAAGGATAGAGGTTAAGAGGGTCAGTATGATGGACATATGGAGTGGTATGAAAGATCATCTCCAGCTTCAGGCAGATGGGTGGGGTGCAAAATGAATATAACACTAATATAAAAATGTACTAAAACAAAGTAGAACTGAGAATCTTGTCATTATTAGAATTTGCTTTTGAATAAACTTTAAAAAAATCTTTGTTGTGTGTCTCCACGTCACATTTCCAGACTGCAGACATACAGATCAGAACCTCCAGAGCCCAGCTGTGTCTCTATGAAGAGCAGCAACTCAATGTATCAGCCTCCTGGTTTCAGTGATGAAAGACCCAGTACTGACCAGAGGTGAGACACTAACACAACATGACTCACACAAAATATTTTAGTCAAGCTGTCAATTAAAAATTCCCTTTCCTTATAAATGAAAGAAAAAAGAATGATTGGAGAAAGTAGAAAAATAAAAACGCTGTACACTCTAAGCACAGAACAACAGTGACTTACTGCATCATTGTTTATTGTAGTTCTTATTTTACTAATAATATTAATATGAAATACACTACAAGGAGTGTCCTATATAATGCAATATATAAAAACATATTTGTAAAAAACTGCATTTAAATGA